TACTGTACTACTTGACTCCGCTTCCAACGACTTTGATAAGTTTGATTTTGGACCCAAACCAACAGTTACCCATATAATGTTATCCACACCTTATTGTTACTCTACTTTGAGTATTTTTTCCTTGACACAGGCAACACTATCTCTTGGTAGTTGTTTACATTCATGTTTGGGAGGATTTGATTAGGTTAATCGAGAAAGGTAATAGAATATAAATAATTTGATTGTGTATAATCTGCCTTTTAGTTCAAAATTTAATGTTGCGTTAAACGAACAGCATGCAAACTGCAAACGCTAAGTCATTTTATTCCGTCTGTATTTGCATTTTTTCCTAAACTTTTCTAAAATTTATTCTGCTTATCTTCGGCTGATGGCTGATAGAAACTTTAAGAAGAGGGTAGTTTTGTCGTTAAACTTAGGGCACACAACAGACTCTAAATGAGGTCACACTGTGCTGTCTTGAAATTCTCTGGCGGTTGGTTATTCAAGGTTCACAACTCCTATTCCAGAATATGACACTGATTAAGTAATGTCTTTGGAGTGCTTGTAAACTTATGTTAGGTTAGCCCTTGTCCGACCATAGTATAAACTAGGCAGTTAAAAGCTCTAGCCTCTCTTGGTGGCTCCTTTTGGACGTTGACAATCAACTTGCGGTCTATAATATATCTGAGATATCAAACAGAATGACTATACAGTACTTCAAATGTACTGTACATACCAGGAACTGGTGAGAGTCCGCCTGAGGAGCCACAGATCAAAGTTGAAGAAGCCACAAGTCCAAAAACTGTGAGGGGCAATTTTTTCGGAGTGAAGTGTGAACTCTTGGAACAATCTGCCAGAAACGCGTTTTGACGGCACAGTGTGTGAGAGCTCAATCAAGGCAGAATTGACCAACACTGGAGCAGGTTCCTATATTCAGGGCCCAGTGTACTTAGTAGTATCTGCCAACAGTCTTGTATCATAAGGCGTGCCCGACAGGTCTGTCGGCGTCAGCGAAGAGGATAAAAGTAAAAGTTAAAAGTCCAAACGTGAGAGCACCATATTGAGTAATATAGGAGACGGACCATAGGTATGTGTATCACCTATTATGGGATATATAATTTGTATTCATTCATAAATGTTTATCCATAGGTACTGCAATATACCATACCAATATTCTCCATACCCAGATCTTAACCTCTATATAGAGTCTATGATTGATTAATTTTCTTTACAGGTGTTGGGGTGGACATTCTGGATGTGAAGCTACAGGGGGTGAGGTACCTGGAGGTGGGGTCAGGTGTCGTATGTGCTCAGATGCGACTACAGGGTGCTCACGATGATCCAGTTGTAGAGGTCAGCTGGCTCTTATGCAGTCTTCCCGTCTCCTGGACCCCCAAGCGGCAACCCTTCAGGTACTTGGCCTGGCAGTCTTACTTTTCTCAGCATTTGTCTTTCTTTATTAGTATTAGTGTCATTTGTCTTTTGATAAGACTCCATGTACACATAGACCTTTCATTAAAATCTATTAAATCAAACAATTAAAATCATAATAGCTATGAATTTATTGTGACTATCTAATCTCACAACAGGAATTGTCATGCAACTAATCTTCGGTCGGAAACTAAACCTTCGGGGCTCTAGCAATTACTGATGTTCATTATAGACATCTAAGGCCGTATGATTGATATGTGGTTGATTTGTGAGAGCTGAAAATTAATAAATATCCGGTAACAGAAGGTTTGAGATAGATTCACATATATCTTGGGCAAATGACTACAGTATAAGGATGATATGAAACATACTCACTACCAAAGACAATGAAAGCACAAAGTGGGCAGTGCTTTGAAGTCGATGGAAATTGTGGGGAGTAGAACACAAAAAATGAACCAATCAAACCCAAGGAATCCTGACCTAACCTGCCTAACCTAACATTACAAAATCTTACCCTACTTAACCGATGGTGGAGGCTTATCATGTGTGCACAGCGTGAAAAGTAAACAATAAACACTTAAGTGAACTGGAGAACCACCAAAGTTGTATGAATTTTACCTACTTTATAATTAAATTTAATACACAAACTAAGCATTTACCCGGAAGGTTTCATAGCAAAAAGTTTAATGCATGCGACACGGCAGCCAAGCAGTTGTTAAAACAAGCCAACAGAGGCGAAGCTGTGTGATAGGTAGTTTACATTATTGCTTGTTCCTAGTCCTTAATAAATTTGGACTGTCATGTGAATTACAGTAGAGTATATATACAGTAAAATATGTCTATAACGAATCTAATTGGTTCTACAACCTTGTTCGTTATAGCATTTATAGATCATAAGGATTAATCCGTTCCAGGCCCCCAAATACAACCACTTAACACTGAAAAATATAATATAAAATTGTAAAGTGTAAGTGCATAAATATGCATCAACCCTGAAACAAAAAGAATATCATTCAAAAACAATAATTGTAAAAAAATCTAAAAATGTTAGGTTGTTACGTTAGATTCAATTTATGGTAAACACGTTAAATAAGAATATTCATAGTAGGATCCGTTAATTTATAGCATACCCCACTGTACAGTACAGTAGTGTGTTAGTATGATCATGAGTATGTGGTGAGTTATAGTGTAAAGGAGATGACTTACAGTATTACAATGGAACGTAGGAGGGGAGAGATGTAAGATCACTAGAGAAATATTTGAAATCATCTGAATGATGAAACTCTAGTAATATAGTTGGTTGATGAATGCGTGGAGGAAGGCAGAAGTGTGACAAGTAACCACAGAAGAATTAATATGTATGAAAGTGGGAAAGTACTTGTATAGACCAAGACTTACTGAAAAAGTAAAAGTACACAATGTGTGAAGTACTGTAGGGGTACGTGATATTTGGTTCACACTCAGGATGGGATGGAGAAAGGAAACTCACAATGTGCTCTCTGTATACATATTGTATTGGATGTACAGTGCAGCTTGGTGCTGGGAAGTGGCAGCGTGGTTACAAGCGTAATGTAGAGAGAGCTGGTTGGTGAGGATGCTCAGAGGAGGACAGCTAGTGGGTCGCCATGCTCGCCGGCGGGAGCGAGGGCCGCCAGACAGGAGGAGAAGGAGGTGTTGCTTGCTGGTTGGTGTAGGTAGAAAAGAGAGTGGTCACCACGAGGTCAGGTCTTATATAGCGGGGGTAGGCGTGGCTTAATAGTTGACCTCCGTCATGTAAGGCGGCGCTGGTTGACTTAGACCACGAGGCATACACTGGGGAATTCGCGGGGTTGGCTACTCAGCGACAAACAGCGTTTGTAGGGGAGATATTCACTACAGTACTGCTGTATGTGAAGTCCTGATTCATCATGTTTCATTAAACATAAATTTAAATAACGTATGCAAAATTTAATTTATTTTAACCTTTATTTCCCATATACAGTCCTCGTTGTACTTGTTTGATGTCTGTGACTACAGTACTATAATTGATAATATTGCAGTAAACAGCAACCACAGAATTCCGGAAATTCACTACACTCAATCAATATAACTATTTTTTTCTGATAATTTTCTTATATTACATTAGGTTAGGTAACACTTTTTTTATCAGATTCTTTGATTGCTGTAATCTGCAATTTTATCGAATAATTGAATACTATACGTAAAATGCTAATTCCCTTTATTAGTAGCATAATACAGTACATGCACTCCCACATGCACTGTACTCTATAAAGCCAGTGGATAATAAATGGAACAAGTAGCCCAGCATAATTAAATTTCCAAAATGTGCAATGAGTTACAATTGACATTAACTTTCATATTGTACTTTGGCAGTGTTTCACAGGCTGCTGGGCTTGGTGAATGCCTCACCAACAGATGAGCCTCACAACATCCACTTCACCCAGGTTGAGTACAGTCTTGCTGGCAACTTTACATGTGAAGTCTCCACAGCTAATGACGTTGCCCGGCAAACTTATTTCCTCCATGTTGTGGGTAAGTTTAATGGTGCAGTAACTTATCCTTTGTAAGTTACCGGAACAGGTCACTTGTTAGTACTATAGTAAGCTACCCCATCATCCTCATCACTGAAGAACACACTTCAATATGTTATCACGAGTTCTTTTTATCATATCCAGTATTTGAAACTCATTACTTCATAAACATATTGGGTAATGACCGAGAACAGCACTTGTTCAATTTCATTCAAATATTTTCCACAGATGTTATCTAGTGTGACCATACCAAACTAGTACTGAACTTAAAGAACTGGTAATTATTGATGAGATACCCACCACTGATTTTGGTTAATATATGTAGGTCTAACCCGCCAGGGCTGCATAGTGCCAATCTTGCCATATCATCTCACGTCCAGTAAATGCCTCAAATTTCACCATATCAGTAAGTTCTTTCTGTTTAATAATATTTAATTGTTTTCAATCAGTTTCACTCGCAGGTTAGTCTTATATAATTAACCTGATTTTTCATAGAAAATATTTTTAAAAGGTTGCAATTTTACTATGTTTAGTAGAGAACACCTGTAGTTTAGGCCAATGTGTTAAAAAGTGGTTATTTTTAAATTAAACCTAACGTAACCTTAGTTGATAAGAATAACAAGTGGCAGAAGCATTGGTAGAAGACAACACCAATCTAACCACAACCAAACCTTACCTAACTTCCTAGCTTTGGGGCTATGCCCCCTGGACCCCCAACATATTCAACAGAAATAACTTCTTTTGACATGGTGTACCTTAATGTTTTTTGTGGATGTGAGACCCAGGCTGCTCATAAATGTACACTAAGCGTAGTTGTTGATTGGGGCATCTTACTGATTTATCACTGCTCAAGACGAAGTAGTATCGCTAATGCGAGCATAGGGGCCTAATTATCTACCAAATGAAGCATTTGCCCAAGATATGAATACCATATCAGAATTCACGGATGAAAATATAGTAAGAAAAGAAATATCAAAACATATAGCGCAGCGGCAGGTATCTCGTCAATCTTAACCAAAGTTCATAACAAAGGGACAGACCACCCATCCAAACAGCTAGTAAGCTGATAATGGTGAAATCAGAAGGCTGGTATCTGGTGGATGAGTCTCATACCAAATTTAGATGATTTATTTTCATGGACATTTATAATCCCATCCCTCCCCCTAAGTACCAAAATCCATTAGTCTAAAGACTTCAACACTCGATATACAGTATATGTGAGACTGTCATGTACCAAGTCTTACATGGTTTGTCAGCAGTGAAGTGTTCAATTGTATCTTCATATTAATTAGTGGAATACTGTATTGCAAAGTCTAACTACAAATTTTGTCAGTAAAAATGGAAACATTATAAATCTTATTGACACATAAGGTTTATTATGTACAGCAAATAAAAACAAAAATTCTGCACCTTTACAGTGTTATATAATAGGACACACCGGACCAAGAATTCCTGTTTATTTCTCTGTATTGACTCTACATGATATACAGAATACATTATATAGGCTACACAATGCATCACCCAATCAGATGTACCAACCTTACCAAATGAACATGGCTTCAATCATTGATCGTTGTGAAGGCCATCAGAAGATGAGAAGTATAGATACAGTATATTACAATGAATTAGGGTTGGGTATGCCATCACCTGAATAAGTAGTTTTATTATATGTTATATAATGTATTTCATATTTATTCCTGAAGGTGGCTCCTTACATATATGTTAATAATGATCAACTCCTCCAGATGCCTTTTCATCTCCCTACAAGACTAATGTACACGTCTTTGAGATGATAAACAACAGCAGTGGAATAAAAGAAGAGAACAAGTTCCAGTATGAGGTTGATGGCAGTGATCCATCACAGAATGTTAATTTTGAAAATGCTGCCTGCACTCTGGTGTGGACCTTCTCCACACCTGCCATCTTCCCGCGACCAAATGTCACCTGTGGTTACTATTCCTTTGACTATGATGATGTTATCCACCGCCTTCCTGCCGGCCTCACCATGCACAAGTTTGATAATGGTTCCTGGCAGGCCTCCTTTGACTCTACCCATATTGAGGTCAGTAAGGGATACGTATATGAAACGGAGTTAATTGGAAGGACAATAGAAACAAACTACAGTACAGTACTGTACACAGTATTTATGATTATCTTCAATTGTAGAAAAAGAGAAGTTCTTGATAGTGAATTCCAGTCTTTGTCACCCCCCATTTTTTCTAACTCAGAAACAATAAAATCCCTTCTACTACATTAGGGCATCATGTTATTAAAGAATAATACTGTTTTAATTATTATATGATATGGCAAATTAGGCAAATTGTATTAGTATGTATTTTTGTTTACTGTACTGTATTATACAACAATCCACACTGCATGCAATTTGCCATATCAAGTAATGCTTAGCAACATTGTTATTAATATTATTAATTTTAGGTTTAAATTCAGGTCAGTAATGGTTACAAGCAAGAAAACAATGATGATTAAGGTACCGGTATTTCATTACATTTTCTTTTATCCTCAATAAACCAGCAATCCACAGGTTGGTTATTTTCGATAATTGAGAAACTGTACTTGTTATTTTAGAGCTTCAAATTTAATGATAAATGAAATCAGTTTATTAGAAAATAAAGGATGTCTTTATTATACACTGGTGTGTAGTGTTTAATACTGTAGGTCCATTGCTTAGAACAAAATTGTCCATACATAATGATGGCAATGACACAAAAAATCATTGTGTAAACTTAAATTGAAAATAAGTTTTGTGAGAGGTGGTCTAATATTGATTATCATATTACACAGGGTTACCATATGTCCATATTTTCCCAGACATGTCCTCCTATTTGGCCTTTAAATATCTGTCCGGGAGGAATTTTGAAACATATCTTAATATGTCGGGGATTTTGCCTTAATTATTTTTCCCCAAAAGTTTTTGATGTGAAATTTACCATGATATAAAGTTAGGAATAACATATTCATTGGTTCTTTGGAAAATGAGTGTTGATCATTCGAGAGAGAGCGTGTTGATTGTTGTTCTTGGCTTGTCTATTCTAGTTCACTTCACCAGTCACTTTTTGTTCTAAACAGGTAAAATATTTCCAAAGCCTCCTATGGCTCAGCCATGGGTGGCCACGGCACTAATTTCATTGTCTTATATGAATCCGTACTGTGCACAGTAGCATTTCTTTAAGAGATCTTTACTTATTTAGTATATGTTATTTTGTTACTCCTAAACACAAAGCAAAAACGAAAGTGTAAACTCATTGCAGAGCTAAAGAAAAAATTCAAGTGTTTTCAAAGTGGTAGAGAAGAATGGCAAATAAAGGCAAAAATGATTTACAAATTCGTTCCTGTTCAAGGAGAAAGCTCATTGGCAAAATTTCCAAATTGTTTTGTAAAGCCAGGCAGTATATCAGAGGATGCTTTTACTGCAGCATGTATAATACATTACGATACATAACATTAATACATTGAGACTTGGTAGATAATGGTCAGTGTCCATTTTTTTAAAGGTCAAATATGGTAACTCTATATAATAGATACGTATACTTTAGTTTCATATCAGTACACTGTACAGTACAGTATCCATATTTAGGGTTTACTGATGATTCTAATGAAAAAGTAACTGTTGATGGGAGTGTATCATATCCTGTACAGAAGTCATAATAAAGGCATTGTTACCCTCAGGTGTTGAGCATCCCCAGGAGTCACCGCCTTGGGTGTACTGTCCGCATTCCTGACACTACTTACAAGAAGGTCATTAAAGCTGATGATGACTTTTTCATCGATAATCTCAGTAAGTGTTCATTTAGTATACTGTATATAGTATAACAAAGGCAATGGTACTCACCCATACAGTATCACTATTTCTGGCCATTACTTGAATGTTCAGTAATTGGCAGATTTTCTCTCTTGATCTACTATTTGATCAAGTATTCATCTGTTGTTCTTGGACTATCACCAAACTACATGTTAGGAACCCTTTTATTACCATACAGATCACATTTTTATTGCTGATAGTTTAAATGATAAAATACTATGTTTCTTGAATTCTACTACAAATTTTTCAGCTCCTTTTTTATCTGCACTGGCAGCTTCACCATGCCTAACAACATTATAAATGGCAGTTCTTTTCTTAAACTTATTGAACCGATCGCCCAAGCGGGTAATGAGCCGATCAGTGGTGAAGAGGATAAAAGTAAAAAAAGTAAGAGAACCAGCCCTTGCTGGCCTTAAAGTCTTCAAACACAGTTTCAGAAGAACTAGGTTGATCTTCCTTCAAATGTTCATAAATTTCCTTGGCTCTTTCACAAATGAATTCAGTAGGAATTGAATCTCCTTTCATTTGTTTTTCTTTAATCCAAATAAGAAGTAACCTCTCTGTTTCTGCAATTAGTGATCTACCTTTAAACACAATGCACAATGTTTGTAGATACAGTTGATGCCGACATGCCATATTCTTTACTCGGTACATTAGTTCTAATGCCTTCTTCATGTTTCTTAATAATTTCCTGTTTCACTTGAATTGAAATCACCTTTCTAGATTTCTTTGGACCCATACTTGATACAGTAATTTCACCAATAAATTTTTTTAAGTTCACTACCTGTAATTAAAGATTATTTTATTTAAATCAACACTGCACTGCACTATATATTATCAATATGTTAACTAAATTTCAGAATGACCAATACTTTTAAAGTAAAAATGTAAAAATACTCAAGAGACCAACAAACTCGATGTTTCCTCCACTGTAAACAAAGTTACACAGAGAAACTTTGGCGGGTGATTCGATCCGCTGATGGGTGCACAAAAACTGTTCCCTGTACTATATATATTATCAATATGTTAACTAAATTTTAATATAAAAAATGCAAAAATATTAAAGAGCACAACCTTCTTGATATTTACCCCACCGGAAACGAATGTAAACATAGAACTGATTACTGTATTGGCGGACTAGCCGATCAGCTGATGCGCACAACAAAGCGTGTTTCTCGTAAGGCTGTCGTTAATCGGATTTTTGTTCGTTAATGGAACTGAAAATCCTTATGGGAGCTAATTCGTTAATCGAGAGATCACTGTACAGTGGTCCCTCGGTTAACGAGCACAATTCGTTCCAGAAGGTTGCTCGTTAACCGAAACCATTGTTTCAATGGGTTTTTTGGTAATTGGTTCCAGCTCACCGAAAATTACATACAAATGAAAAATAAATGCAGTAAAGTACACTTATTTTGAGGTGTGCATGTAGAAGGCTCCTGGATGATGATGATGGGAATTAGAAGGAGGGTGGAGGAGAAGGTTGAAGAGAAGGCAGTGGGGTGGAAGAGAAGTCACCCCATGCTGCCATTTCACCCATAAAATTTTAGTTCACTTGGTGTAATTCAAGATTATTTTCTTTAAATCAACACTGCACTTTATATTATCAATGTGTAAAATATTTTTCAAAATGACCAATAATTTGAATGGAAACACAGAAAAAAGCGTTTATGTTGAAGAGTCTCAAACAAGATGTTCCTTCCTCTGAACCTGTAAACAAACTGACACCAAGCTTGGTGTGTTGAGTGGCTGTTTGACGTGCTAAAAACTAGTTTCCTGTACTTTAATTATGTTCAATAATTGTTAAAATGACTAAAAAATTTAATATAAACTTTTAAAATGATTGAATAGTACAACCTTCTTGATATTTACTAAAGTGGTAAGGAATTTAAGCCCTAGAACTGATTACTGTATTGGCGGACTAATACGACAGCTAGTGAGCAAGCGAAAACATGTTGAGGGGCGCTCGTAAGGAATTCGTTAATTGAGGGATTGCTCGTTAACCGAAGTGAAGAATCTTGTGGAAGGTAATTTGTTAACCAAAATTTCGTTAACCGAGGTGCTCGTTAACCGAGGGATCACTGTACTGTACATCATTCAATCGACAGAATTTCTAGTTCTGAAACCCTTGGTGTGAGCCTCTAAATTTTACCACTTCCTTACAGGTTGTCAACAGTGTAAACTAATCGAGGCAAATATTGTACCTTGTGATTGGTTCAAACTGGATGGGAGGGGTCATGGTGCTGCCCCACTCCCTGGATTGTATGTTAATGAAGGACCTGATTCTCACTGACTGTAGCTATATATGCCCTACATTGTAATTATCACAGAAATTTAACACACCTGTAAACTCAAGAAATTCTACTCATGGTCATTAGAGTGCAGCTCTTGGGTTGAACTCCTCTGATTTTATGTTCCTTTGGGAGATGTTGCCTGTGAGGCTGACCATCTCCCATGTAAAATATTGAGAAGTCAGTTTATTTTTTTACTTGCCTCCTTGCAACCATTGCTGGCGAATATACTTGGCTTCTCTAAACAGACAATTAGTGACATAATAATGGATATCAGGTCAATTGAATTGTCAAATAACAGTTCAATATACTGTAGTACTATACATAAAAATGATGCTTAGAATGTGACAAATTCAAGAAACATTAAAATTTGAAAATGTCACCTGTTATGAAAGTAAATGAAGATATGACATTTTCACCTCTTTGAAGGACTCGAGATAATACTGTACAGTACTAATTTTGTGAGAGTGTTTTTAATTATAGAATATGCCCCCCCCCCCCCTTTTTATCAGCTTATTGGCCGTTCAGGTGGTTTGTCTCTCAGATTTATCCAGTGTTAGGACAGCGGTCCCTCGGTTAACGAGCACAATCCGTTCTAGAAGGTTGCTTGTTAACCGAAACCATTGTTTCAATGGGTTTTTGGGTAACTGGTTCCAGCTCACCGAAAATTGCCTAAATTCAACAAAAAAGGTAGAAAAGTACACCTAGTTTGAGGTGTGTATGTAGAAGGCTCCTGGATGATGATGATGGGAATTAGAATGGGGGTGGAGAAGGGAGAAGAGAAGGCATTGGGGTGGAAGAGAAGTCACCCCATGGCGCCATTTCACCCATAAAATTTTAGTCCTCTTGGTGCAATTCAAGATTATTTTCTTTAAATCAACACTGCACTGCATTATATATTGTCAATATGTAAAATAAATTTCAAAATGACCAATAATTTGCTTGCAAAAACAAAAAAAGCATTTAGTTGAAGAGAGTCTCAAGCAAGATGTTACCTCTACTGAAAAGATACAAAGACTGACGCCTGTATGGTGTGTTGAGAGGCTGGATGGTGTGCATAAAACTAGTCTCATTGCCTTCAATTATGTTCAATAATTGTTAAAATGAGTAAAAAATTTAATATTAAACTTTTAAAATTATTGAATAGTATAAACTTCTTGATATTTGCTAAAATGGTAAGGAATTTAAGCCCTAGAACCGATTACTGTATTGGCGGACTAATACTACAGCTGGTGGACCGCCAAATGCAAGCGAAATCATGTTCAGGTTGGCTCGTAAGATACTCGTTAATCGAGGGATTGCTCGTTAACCGAAGTTAAGAATCTTATGGAAGGTAACTCGTTAACCGAAATCTCGTTAACCGAGGCGCTCGTTAACCGAGGTGCTCGTTAACCGAGGGACCACTGTACCAGAGAAACCCAGTGATTGGGAACCTGTCATGTTTGGTAAGGTCGCACTGGATAACACCCTTCTCACATGTGTCTGGGCCAAGGCTCAAACCCTTGATTTATTAGTGACACATATGCACGTTAGTCTGTACCTTTGATGTTTATTATACTCGTACAGTCCAGTTACCTATTGTGTTATATGCAACATTATGCTCTTCTTTCCATGGGTCAAGGCATATATAATCTACTGCAAACTATTTTATATCTGACTTAACATACTACTTGTTAGCTTACTAGCCAGTCAGTCTGTTCTCTGTAAACCACGTCTATCCTCTGTTATAACCTTCATTGTTCAGTGTCAGTACAAGAGAAAACCAGAGAACTCAGACAAACCTGCATTGTTGGTAGAGTCCCAGTGGAGACACCCTTCTGACATCTGACCTGGGGATCTAACCCAGGATACAGAAAAGAAAGCTGCTTATATTTCTTAACAGTCCAAAACCATGAGCTCTTCCACATTTTAGCTGTTCTTGTACTACCAAATAGTGAAGTGGCATCAAGGAAGGTGTTTTAAATAATTCTGACATGATTGATGTTGTGGTTCTTTGTCTTGTAAGATGAGAAATATGAGTTTGGAATACCTGTCAAGTTCTAAGATAAACTTCTTAAGGGTCTTTAGAAGAGAAAGGGAAGGATGAGTGTTGCCAACAAAGAGTATCTTCAGTTACGGATAATCTGTAAACATTAAGTGGGTTGTAGAACTATGTAGGGCAGGTCCTAATGTTAAACATCCCAAACATGAAGTGATAGAAACATTGGTGATTTAAAGTGAAAAATTAATCTTAAGTTAAAACATGTGATGTGATGGTCATAAAAGACAGAAAAAACTTGAGTACAGGATCCTGTACAGTACAGTACTTATATTTAAGATATTATTGATCTTGAATCCATTTCATGATCATACAGTATATTTATTTCCTTTGTTTAACCTCTTCACCACTTGTCAGCTTACTAGCTGGTCAAGCAGTCAGTCAGTTCTCCATTATGTATTATTGGTAAGTACTGGGCATGTATGGGCTCTTGAATGTACCTGAACATATGCTAAATCTAGACTTAAGGGAGCTCACTCTTGGTGCTGCCACAACATTATTTGGCAGGTTATTCCAAGAGTTCACAACTTTTGCACTCACAAAATTAGCTCTTATAGTTTTCTGTACTGATAGCTTTTTAACTAGAGGCTGTAATCTCTGTTGGGTGACCATCCACTAACTCCATTTGATGAGTTATACTCTTTAAGGTACTGTACTACTAAAATATGTACTACAGTACTAAATCACTCCTTGTCCTTCTATAGTTAAAGCTAGGCAATGAAAAATGTTCTAATTTCTCTTGTTAAGTGAGGTGTCTGCTCGCACCAGTTTGGTGGCCCTCCTTTGGATGTTCTAAATCAGTTAGAAGTCCTTGGTATATCTCTGGAACCAAATAGAGTTACAGTACTCCCAAGTCTGTAAAACCTTATGAGAGACAGATCATCTAGGTATCCATTGGATCTTTAAATAAATCTTGCTAGTATATTAGGAAGATTCACCTTCTTCTTACAGTAACCCACGAACTTTAGTTCATTGTCAACATAAAACGCCCATATCTTTCTCACATTTAACTTCAGTTAAGGAAGTGTTTTAATCATGAAGAAATATATGATGAACACAAGTGATATTGTTCCTGCATCAGTGAGTATTGGTAACAAAAAAGTAAGTAGGATGTAACCAGAAAAGAGATGAAGCTTGAAAGTAGGCACTGAGGCCTCTTACAACCCTTCAGACAAGGCACTATATGACAGATCTCACAAAACATTCAAAATCCTGAAAGGGATGGAAAACGTGAACCTGGGGCATTTCTTTGTGATGTCACGCAACACCAGCTTGAGAGTACATAACTACAAGCTTAACAAGTTCCCATGCAAAATGAATATAAGGAAATACTTTTTCATACAGGGTGGTAGACCTATGGAATGGTCTACCAGCCCAAGCTGTGGAATCAAGAACAGTACTGGGCTTCAAAATAGCCCTGACAAAATTATCAAGAACAATGGAGGGATCTTACACAGGCTACTAGCCTCCTTCCCTCAGCATTGCCACCTCTAGTGCATGGCCATTGGGTAAATAAAGTAAAATGACATCATGGCAATGTAGCTAACTTAAAGTGCTGGTTGTCTGAACACAGATTTTGGAATGTTGTGGCAATATTGATAATATTGTATATATATATATATATATATCTAGACTTGACAAGGCTTTTGACAGTGTACCTCATGAAAGGCTGAAGCTTAAACTGGAAGATTATGGAATTCGGGGAGCGTCCTAGCATGCATCAGAGACTTTCTTCGGGACTGCAAGCGGTGTGTGGTGATTAATGGCATGTGTACCCGTGACTATATGCCAGAAGTTGTACACTCCTCCAAACAAATGTTTGTGGACAGTGTTAAGTTATTCAGGGAAATTAAAAACCAAATGGACTGTAAAGCACTACAAGAAGATCTCAGTCGACTTCAGGAGTGGTCAACTGATGTTGTCTGACCATTGTGAGAAACTAAATCGAGTAAATAAGCTAGTGTGTCTTCTAAAAAGAATCACATACCGAGATGGTCTGTCCCTCATAATGCTCTTCAAAGGTGAGGTACTCCCCTGTTTGGAGGCTGGTCCCTGAGATATGCTGAGACTGTAAGTTGATTGAAGATGTCTAAAGGAGGGAAACCAGACAGGTGCCTGTACTATGGCACCTCAGAGACTCAGAGAGATTAGATAGCTTGCAGTTGCTTAGCTTATACAGCACTGTACTATCGATGGGCAAGGGATGACTTAATATAATTCTTTAAGCACCTCGGGGGACATTACTCAATTGAGTTTTTATACATGGAGCTGACAGATGCCCTCCCCACCAGAAGTCACAGCCTAAGGTTGGAGAAGTCACAAGTTCATAAAAATCTCAAGGCAAACTTTTTTGGAGTGAGAGTTGTGAACTCTTGGCATAACTTGCTAGGGTGTGTTGTGATGGCACCGTGTGTGTGTGAGCTCATTCAAGACCAGACTTGTCCAACACTGGCATGGGCTCAGACACATTTTGGGAGCAGTACAGTACTTAACAATGATGCATAACAGAGATGTGATTGACTGGCCAAGCGGCTAACAGCCCAAACCGTGGCAGAAAAGATAGAACAAAGTTGAGAGAGCGGTCCCTTAAGACCCTTGGGGTCCAAAGCGTCCGTGGTCATCAGTGTTCCTGTACATTATAATATTTACCAACCACTTTCAGTGATGTTTAATAGAGGTAATACATACAGTACATGTCATTGTCAGTGTATAATATTTAATAAGTGCCAAGTGACAGACACTAACCAAAAAGTCTTATATTATACTCTGTTCATCAACTGAGTTGAGTTGGCTAACTGCTTTCTGGACAATTTACCCCATATACATTGCCATTCGTCACCTTGACAAGATTTAATCAGGGATGTTTTTTTCTGGGTTTCTGTTTTTTTTTCCCATCATTTTAGGCGACCCACGTGAATCGTGTAGATCCATTGAGAATTTTGCGGGGGTGGGGGTGGTATGACCATGATGACAGAAATGTTTGATAATAAATTACACTAATTGACCTCTTGGGTCGATGGGTCAGTTTACTGAGTGACACGCGAGGACGATGAGGCAGTATACAGAGTTCTCTATAAGGTTTTGATAATGAATTGCTCTAACGATTTATGAATTCGAACAATATTTATAAGCACGCTTGTTTGCTATACGCATTTTGCTTACTATTCTCCAATTTTGTGGTATTAACGTGAAATGGTAAAGAAGAATATCTCCAAAAGCATTCTGATGATAGAATTCGTATTATCGAAAGAAAGGATATAACACTTGAAAGAAGCTGATGTTATCAACCTCAAAATCACCCTTCTTCCCATCAAGTTACATTCATATTTTTCGAAGTGTTAAATAGTATGATTTCATTATTAGATATGAATGTAACATTTATTTAGACTGTGCTATCCTTTGTGTTAGGCTAACTACTAAACATTTGATAATCTCACCTAACCCTATTTTCTCCATAAGCCTTATTTAGATTATAACATATTTTACAAGAACACAATTATCGCAGATAGCAGAACTACCGTATACAGAGTATAGTGGTCGACTCTACATGTTCATGCATTACATCATATACTTATTTCATTAGCTGAGTATTGCTTGTTTTGCATTCCATTCTTAAATTCTTAGTATTTCATTTACCAAAGATCAATGATGTCATAAAGTGCCGCTATCCTTTATCCACTTGATCCACCTCCGACGGGATGGGCCACATTTTTCAATATAATTAAGTTTCTATAATTATTTTACACTTTCTGATGATCACAATTTATTCTATAACCCATGATATTTCATAGTTGCATAGGCAACTTAGTAGGGCATGTGTGTATCCCAGGAGGTCAGGGCTGTAAGGCATGATTGGTTGTGTCCCCAAGAGATCAGGGCTGTAAGGCATGTGTGTGTCCTCAGGAGGTCAGGGCTGTAAGCATGATTGGTTGTGTCCCAAGAGATCAGGGCTGTAAGGCACGTGTGTGTGTCCCCAAGACATCAGGGCTGTAAGGCATGTGTGTGTCCCCAAGAGGTCAGGGCTGTAGGACATGATTGTGTGTCACCCAGGGGTCAGGGCTGTAAGGCATGATTGTATGTGTCCCCCAAGAGGTCAGGGCTGTAGGGCATGTGTTTGTCCCCCAGAGGTCAGGGCTGGAAGGCATGATTGTTTGTGTCCCCAGGAAGTCAGGGCTGTAAGGCATGATAGTATAAATAATAATAATAATAAACGGTTTATTAATAGAGTTGCAGCCAGTGGCAGAAAATATACAAATTTACATGTGATTTAGACATAATGATATGCATTCAATACATTTACAGGGCTGTACAGTACATAAATCAGGGTAGGTGTTTCCCTGGACCCCAACTCTTTTTTTCCCAAGACCCAATCACATCCTGTTTAATTGTAAACCTAGCATAACTAAACTAACCTAATGGGATTGGGTCCAGCTTTATTAAACTCTGCATTTTAATCATTTACCACCAAGCAATTCACCTGCTGAGTGATAACCATACAGCCAGGTAGTAAGATCTTGTCACCCTTACATTATTTTGGTTGCCTTGGGTAGTCTGCATTCCTGTATGGTCATAGAAATTTCCTTGTATGTAGTTTATGGAACACTTGCAACTTTCAGGTACAGTACTGCAGTCTGACAATAATGATGTAGTACATTGTATATGGTGTGTTTCTTTGACAGTCGACTCTACGGGCTGCCCAAGCCTCAGCCTGATCCACAATCTAGGGTTAAATGTGGAGGTGAGGGATGCCACATACACATGTCGTGATGACATCCTACCTGCTGATAGAAGTGGAACAGCTGTTGCATCACTCAGGTTTGTATTTTATTCACAATTTTACAAGATACATGCATTCACAATCACAATATTTATTGAGGATACACTGTTGCCAACTCGGTTGGCATTATTGGCACAGGAAATAAGCAGTTTGATTTGGCGGCCACAAATATACAAGTACTGTATATTCTTACAGTCACTGACAATCCATGATACACAGACATATAGGTATGAACCACAGAAGAATCACACTTAAAACTGTAGATTGTAGAGAGTAAAATATTTGTACAGTCTCTCCTCGACTTACGACGGGGTTCTGTCCCGACAACCAAGTAGTAAGTCGAATTGGTCATAAGTCGAAAAGGCGAAAATAATACAAAGAAATTCTAAAATGGGTGTCTCTTTTTCTTCTCAGCACCACGAGAACTATCACTTTTACGCTTGCCAGCCATTTTAAAGGGAATTACAAACGAAAATTTTGTCAGTACACAGCGCAATCACTAACGTCGGGACTCGAAAATACGTAATGTGAAAAATATTTTATACGACCACTGCCGTCGTATGTCCGGGTTGTCATAAGTCGAATATGTCGTACATCGAGGAGAGACTGTATACAGTATTCTTTCTTATTGCATCGCCACTACCAGAACCCTGGTTTCACTGTCCCTACTTGATTAGGGACAAATGGTTGAGGTAAATAAGTTTTTTATTTAAAAGAGTCATGTTGACAGAAGTGTCATCACATGCCAAACAATACAAGTGAGTTTGATATTAAGGTTATGCCATATGTCCTTTACTAGGCTGGAGATGAAGTCTCAAGCTTCTGCCTAATCATGGGACAAGTCATTTTGAAGGACATGGGAGGAGCAGAGGAGTCAATGGAAGACATTTGTGTAGATAAATTAAGGGTGGTGGTGAGCCAGGTGACTCAGGGAAGGATTAATAATTCTTACATGATACAGGGTAATGTTTCCTAGTCGTTTATCTACATGTACTGATGTTACACACACACAAACCATACTCCAGCCTTTATTTTTTTGGTGTGTATGGAGTGCATGAGCCTACAAGCATCGCTGATACAGAGAAAACAATATGGTATCTCTGGCTCATATAGGAAGATGCAGTATGACCTGACTCTCCCGACTCCAAGTCAGAGTGACAAGTTTTATGAATTGTTTGATTAGTGTCAGGTTAGGCTTGCCTTGATGTGGACCTGGTGGTGTCCCTTTTCAAGAGGACGATCACCCAAATCTTTGAATAGATATTGATGCTTGTTATTTCAAAATGACACTAGAAAGGTTTATGGTTTGAGGGAGTTTCTAAAGCCAGTTGTTGATTTGTTAATGCTATATTCATGAAATAATTCACCTGTTGGGATGGACAGTATGTCACACAGCACTTGCAGCTTCTTCCCACCTCCATTTTATAGCTTGCTTCCAATGCACAAGTCATTCTGAATACTGTACACAGTATCATGACTCTTTTTGATAAGTTGACTTGTTCAGTATGAGAGCAAGTAGTAATGATCCTGGGGGTTAATTCATTATAAAATGTTTGTTATAAATATTTGTTATTTGTGTAAATCTGTTGTATATGATTGCTAGATGGTGGGTCCTACACAGACCACTAGCCTCGTTTCCTCGGCATGGCCACCTCTAGTGGATTGCTATTTGGTAAATAAGGTAAAACATTTTGTGATTCTTGGTTATGATATTCTTAATGGAACCATGGAACTAGGTGCTGGAGTCATGCTTTGGGGTCCATATTTGGTACCTCTTCTGGCTGGGTCATCTGGTCATTCTCTGTATGCTATCATAGAGGAGGCCATCACACCCTTCCACACTTAAGTTATACAGAACACTTTTTATCCAGCACATACACATATAACACATCAGTATTGTGTTTCATTAATTTGAAGTACTACTTAGACATAATAACATTTATCATAGTCATATAACTTAACACTTGTCACTGCCATTATGTGCTTTATCTACAGCTCACTTAGAGTAAGTTGTTTGTTTCTTTTCTTGTGGTGATGTATATTTCATGTGAGCAAGATCTCGCTTGCTCTCCTGTGATGTCCTAGTAAGATGGCTGGAAGTAAGGTTTGTACTGCAACTTATGACCAGGTCAGTCACATGAGGTATGGGTTATATAACAGCTTGCAGCTTTACAACTCATTATCCCCCAGTCTTTAGTGGTAGTTGAGGCTTCTCACACCCCTTTTCAGGGCTAGGATTACTGCTAAGTTTAAGGTTGTCTGGGTTTAAAGTTAAAGGCTTTGGCAGGCATTGTACACAAGCTATTAAAACAACTGTTCATTGTATGTAATTTTTAAGCTGTGTTTTAATACCCCCTGTATATCAAACTACTGTATTAGTTATAATGTAACCATGGCAGATGAAACTGACATCGATTTTGAGTCAAGAGTTGTCATGCTCTACATATATTAGTGTAATTACATTAGAGAATTCTATTGGAAGTTACATTATCATACACATTGTTTTGGCATGTGGGGAGAATGAATTAGAGAAGGGAATTTGTAGACAAGTCCATTTCACTCATGACAATGGCTCTTTGAATATTATTATGCAATATAAGTGAATGCCAGCTGTTCTTTAAACACTTTTACTTATTTTATCAACAGTTGCCCTGATGGCCATGCTGCTGTGTTCCCTGAAGGTGTAATAAAACATGACTGGAATTTAGAGCTAAGTTGTTCAGAGAATGACATAGGATGGCGTACCTTCTCCAGCGAAGAACATTCAAAATTTGACAAGTTCTTTGACCTCAACAATTTACCTTACTGTGGTAAGTCAAGTCCGATTATTGACTCAGAACTTTTCAGACTTTGCCTTATGTTATAATTCATTTATTCTTGCAAATAGTAAATACAGTAGTACTGTATTTATGAAATTATTTAATTATTCTAGCTTGAAACCATTTGCCAAGCAGTTCTTGCCACTATGTTCACCATCTGGAGACTTGTCCATTACTACACACCCTTATTGACACTAGATATTAAAATCACTCATCTTACCATGTCAGAACCATCAGCCACCCACTAACCCATAAAAGAGGGAGATCAGAAGTTCAGAAGTAAAGGTTGCCCTCTGTAGGCAGGGGGTATAATTATCCCCAAGCTACCTAGTCATTTCATCAAGGGTAGGTAATTTGTTAACCCAACCATTCATTAACCAAGGGACCACTGTATACACTTATTTGTGTATATTAAGTGCACAAAGCTAATACTCAGTTTATTTTACAGAACCAAGAGTGTTTGGTTCGGCTCATGAGGTTCATGCTGGCTCTACATATGTCTTGTTGACGTTACTGTCATTGGCTGCTATATTCAACCTTTGACCCTCTGCCATGATGAGACATCATGAGAATTAATTACTTTGATTTTACTAAGGGTTTGGTGTTCCTTAAATCCAGAAGAGAATTCTAGGATACAAATGAATGTACTGTACTGTACTGTACTGTACTGTACGTGGTTTGAATATGAAAATACCAAAAAACAAAAACAAAAAATAGAATGTGAATGCTTAAATCATCTTCATGTATGATGCAGCATCTCAGTTACAGTATTGTGTTTTATGTGTTTTGAGACAATTCATGTGACCAGTTACTAAATTATTATACAGTATTTGTGATTACAGTACAATATATATATATATATATATATATATATATATATATATATATATATATATATATATATATATATACGCTCATAAGGCGGAATTTGAACATAAAAATCTGCCCAAAGTTGAGGGTTGGGTCTTAATCACCAAGTATAAAATTCTTACCTCTTAAATATTGTGGTTTAGTGTGTCAAAAGTGGTGATGGAAACATCATTAAGCCACTAACAAGGTCCTACCACTAATTATTTTATACTGAAACTTACGTTTGAAATTAAGATTACGGTATATTAAAATAATAAAAATGTATTATAAACCTGTCTAACATACCATAAAAGAACATTGTACCCCTGTAATAAACACAGCTATCATCACACACCTCCCCACCCCCCACCATTTGCCAGTGAGGAGACAAGAGAAGCGACGGAGTTGGGCTATTGCACGTGGAGGTGGTCAGTAATGCATATCGGTATATTTACTGATAATAATACCTATCTCCTATAAATAATTAATTTAAAAATTTTTTCAAGGAATATTCAGTAAATGACTGCATTAATTCTTGAAACTACCGACAGTTAATACAGGCGCTTAAGTGGCGTCACTAGTGTTTACACTACACCAGCTGGTAACATTTGATGCCATTACTTGAAATGAATTGGCCTTATTTTAAGTAACTAACCATAAATAAATACAAAAAGTAAAAAAGATCAAAAGTGAGAAATAATATACTGTATGTATGTTGTGTTGTCAAAGTTAGAAGAATTGAAACTGCAATTGTGTGTAATGAGCAGAAAAGTCAGGTCAGCGCTGAACGGGACTTGGTCACATTGATGCCATATAGCAGCAGGGTCTACCATTAGACAACACATTATGCTTCCAATATCTTCCCAGGCAGTAGTATCTCCCTGTTTGGTAGCTGCCTACTACCTACAAATTTTAGTAATATTACTTTGATACATGATAAATTAGACAAACAATGAAAATAAACATCAAATTTAATTACCAAGACGCTTCCATTGGCAGCTGTAGAAGAGGGAGATGGGCTATTTTTATCCGTCTTTGTGTCTGAAGTGGCCAGTAATACCATATATTTACTGATCATAATATTTATCTCCTATAAATAATTAATTTAAAATTTATTTTTTACATAGAATATTCAGTAAATGATTTTTAAACAAATAAACAAATAATTAGGTAAATCTATTTCAAATAAATGGAAAATAAGCAAACAAATGTTATTTACCACGCCCTTCCCTCTGGCTCAGAGGTGAGATGGAGGGAGATAAAGAAGCTATTTATAGTCGTCTTTGTGTCTAAGTGACCAGTACCCTAATGCACCATAAATAATTCATTTAACATTTATTTTTGTACATATATTTTGTTGTATATATATATATATATATATATATATATATATATATATATATATATATATATATATATATATATATATATATATATATATATATATATATATATATATATATATATATATATATATATATATATATATATATATATATATATATATATATATATATATATATATATATATATATATATATATATATATATATATATATATATATATATATATATATATATATATATATATATATATATATATATATATATATATATATATATTTTGTGTCATAAATGATGTAGTAAGTACATAATCTTTTTTCACCAAATCCTAATGAAACAATTAATAATTAGAATAATGTGTGGTTATTGTTAGGTTAATAGTGGGAACACAGTCTCACCATCGAGATTTAGGAACACTTTCACCAATCGATCGCTTTTGTGTGGTGCTAAGCGATAAATTAAAGAAAGTACTTGCAGTGTGTTTAATATGTTACAGTATATTATAAATAAATAAATAAACAAATAAATTGGTAAATCCATTTCAAGTAAATAGAAAAATTTCACTGTATTAATTTATTAGTTCCAGTTACCGGTAAATAGTAGACGCTATGACGCTACTAGTGTACACTACAATCAGCGGCATATTTGATGGACATTACTTGAAGTGAATTGGCCTTATTATTTTAAAAAAACCGTGATGCTGGTAAAGGACTAATGGGCCAGTGGGTAAGTGTCTCATTTGGAGTACCAGTCTTATACAGCGTAATAGAGCTCAAAAGCTACTTTTAAATGTATGTAGTAAGTACATACTGGTAACCTTTTTCACTCAAATCCTAATGAAACACCACAATTAGAATACGGTGGTTGCTGTTGAACTACATGTTGTATAAATAGTCGGAACACAGCCACACCACCGAGACGAGGGAACACTCCCACCACCGATCGTCTCGTGTGAAGCAAGCGTATAAATTAAAGAAAATACTTGCAGTGTGTTTAATATGTTACAGTATATTATAAATAAATAAATAAACAAATAAATTGGTAAATCCATTTCAAGTAAATAGAAAAATTTCACTCGACACCGACATTAGTTCCAGTTACCGGTAAATAGCAGACGCTTAAGTGACGTCACTAGTGTTTACACTACACCAGCGGGTAACATTTGATGACATTACTTGAAGTGAATTGGCCTTATTTTAAAAAACCAAGGATGGTTGGTAAAGGACTACTGGGTCAGTGGGTAAGTGTCTCATTTGGAGTACCAGTCTTATACAGCGAATAGAGCTCAAAAGCTACTTTTTAAATGGAAATTTGGGGGGCCGTCTTATGCACCCCGCCGCCTTATAGGCCGAGGTATACGGTATTAGTTTGGTGATGTGATAAAAAGTCTGCTTTTGGAGAATGTCCTTGTAAAGCTCATCATAAATACAAGCTGAAAGAAAGTGGAATTCTCATTTGATCCTGGAAATGGAAACATTTGCTGTCTATAAGTGGCCGCCTTGTATGTGATCCTCAAGAAAGATCAAGCAAGAATATCCACTAAACAGAAAATACAATACTGTAATCAGTACTGTATAGCCCTCACTAAAAGATTACAGTACTGTTGGAAATGTTATTTTTTTCAAAACTTTGTATTATGTTCACGTGGACTGATGCTCTTTTTCATAAAAGTAGTAGACATAATTTCCTTATCAGTTAGTGGGTTAATACTTGAGCCTTGTTGTTAACTGTGAATTTCTTGAGTGTAAACTCAAAATTTATGGCCACATTCATGGATTTTGTTCATTTTCTTCCTAGGGGCTTCCAGACCAAGCTGCTTCGTGAGGATGCCAGCCACAGCATGTATGTTCATGGATGTACAGAAGTGGAAGTTACCACTCCAGAAGAAGCCTTGGAGGTTAGTGGACTTTTAATCTGCTTTCAGGGCATTATTTTGTTTGGAAGATAAAATGTGTTAAAAATAATTTTGAAATCTTTTCATAATTTTAAATCATGTATGCAGTACAGTGGTCCCTCGGCTAACGAGCACTTCGGTTAATGAGATTTCGGTTAACGAGTTACCTTCCAAAAGATTCTTAACTTCGGTTAATGAGCAATCCCTCGATTAACAAGTTTCTTACGAGCCGACCTCCACATGTTTTAGCTTGCATTTGGCTGTCCACCAGCTGTAGTATTAGTCCGCCAATACAGTAATCGGTTCTAGGGCTCATATTCCTTACCCTTTTAGTAAATATCAAGAAGTTTATACTATTCAATAATTTTAAAAGTTTAATATTGATTTTTTAGTTATTTAAACAATTATTGAACATAATTGAAGGTAGGGTCACTAGTTTGTGGCACGCCATCCAGCCTGCCAACACAGCATACAGGCGTCAGTCTTTGTGTCTTTTCAGTGGAGATAACATCTTGCTTGAGACTCTCTTCAACTAAATGCTTTTTTCTGTGTTTACAAGCAAATTATTGGTCTTTTTGAAATTTATTTTACATATTGACACTATATAATGCAGTCCAGTGTTGATTTAAAGAAAATAATCTTGAATTACACCAAGAGAACTAAAATTTTATGGGTGAAATGGCACCATGGGGTGACTTCTCTTCCACCCCAATGCCTTCTCTTCTCCCTTCTCCTCCACCCCCATTCTAATTCCCATCATCATCATCCACGAGCCTTCTACATACACACCTCAAAGTAAGTGTACTTTTCTACCTTTTTTGTTGAATTTAGGTAATTTTCAGTGAGCTGGAACCAATTACAGTGGGGGTATGCTATAACAAATCTAATTGGTTCTAGAACCTTGTTCGTTATAGCATTCGTTTGTTATAGGATTAATCCGTTCCAGGCCCCCAAATACAACCACTTAACACTGAAAAATATAATATAAAATTGTAAAAATTGTAAAAAAGTGCATTAATATGCATTTAAACCCCTGAAATAAAGAGTATCATTAATACTTGTAATAAAAAAACAATAAATTAGTAAAAAAAAAAAAAAAAAAAAAAAAATTTTTTAAATAATGTTCGTTGTAGGAGTTTCGTTCGTTTATAGCATTCTCAATTTATAGGTAAAGCCGTTCGTTATAGGAATATTCGTAGTATGATCCGTTCGTTATAGCATACCCCACTGTACCCAAAAACCCATTGAAACAATGGTTTCGGTTAACGAGTTTTCGGTTAACGAGCAACCTTCTAGAACGGATTGTGCTCGTTAACCGAGGGACCACTGTATGATGATTCTTCATTCTATTTTTGTTGAATGTATAAAGTAGTATTAAAATTGTACTACTGTATCATGAGTAGAAGTATTGTGCTGTTTGATTTCCAGGTAATGGTTAAGGGCCAGAGGCGCCGGAAGGTAGCCACCACACACATTAACTTTGAGTCATCACGTTCACACTCCATCTTCTCTGTGAGAGTTGTTCAAGTAAGTTCCTTCTTCATCTTGGTTTTTCTCTGATGATGATTCTCTGCCAACTCATCAACTTAGTAGCCATTCAGGTGGTTTCTATGTTCTTTGCTATGACCTTAAATGTCCAGTGTTAGTGTAGGAGGAAACCAGATTATCCAGAGAAAATGTGTAAAGTTTGGCAGGGTCACACTGGAGAACACCCTTCTCATATCTGAGCTAGGCCAGGGATTGAACCCAGGACACGGAAGTGGTGAGAGGCATGCTTGCTACAGAATCTTACTGTGCATCCATGTTTTAATTTATTGCTGCACAGATTCATATTTCACATATAGAGTACAGGTTCCTTGTGAATCCAGTACATTAATGATTTATAAAAATTTAGAGGCAGTCCATCCTTTTCATATATTTTAGTATTTCTTGTAATGTAGGAAACATGGCAATACTGTACCTCTTTTATGTGAAGGTCAAATTGCATACCAGTTTGGAATTCTGCTGTTGAATCTTCATTACCTTAACTTGAACGTGTGGAAAGTTATGATGATACTGTTTTGAGATTGTTTGGTGTTACTGTAGGGACACACATTTTTTGTACAGGTTTTACCTCTAGTCCGGCATTCTGTGTTCGGAAACTCGTCGGGCGATTTTAGTTTGTCAATAGGTAGATAGGCAGCTTTTATTTTTTTTATTTTTTTAATCTGCATTATTATTAATATTACAGGGTATTAAATTTTTGCCCCTCAGGCCCCAATGTGGGTCAGTGACCTGTGCCTGGGTGGGCTAATCCCATAAAAAAAACAACAAAGCCGCTGAAATTAGAGTTTGTTTACATCCGGCAGTTCGGCTGCTCTCTCTCTCTCTGCTTGTCTATACAGAGTACAACATTTAACCCTTCAATATATATGAGTAGTAAATAAGTGTTGCTTTCATATTCTTATGTACAGTAATAGCGATATGTTTTCATATGCGCACTTGCCTGCAGTCTCAATTTTTCTTTAACATTAATGGTTTGCTACTTTTATTGTTCTATTTATTAACATTAGATAACATTACTTCAAACAGCCATATTAATTTTTATAATTTTACTACAGCTACAACCAGGTTCTTATTTTCTTGTTTTATATGTAGAACCAGTCAGTCACTGGTTTTGTAATCAACGAAAACAATGCTGTCTCATTTCCTCGTGTGTTTTAATATTCTACGTATTATTATTGAATTGTATTGCTCATTTGCACACATAAACATTAATTCAATAAAAAAAGGCATTCAGTAATGAACAATAATGAATCTTTTTACATAAGAGAAATAGCGTTGTTTACGATTGTTACGCGCCTAAGCGTTGGCGGACGCTCAAACCTTCAAAATTCGATATTCCGCGTCAAATTTTAAATTATGTGGTGTTTTTGTGTGTCCAAATAAAAAGCGTTGAATTAAAAACTTCATGATTTGAAGCTACTGTACAACATTTAACCCTTCAATATGTCTTCAAAGAGACCACGAAGCAGAAAGTGGTGCTACGTGAAGTGGAAGTCACCATCTGTCCAGGAAAAGGGTGAATTTCCATGGTCCGGAAATTTCCATGGTCGGCACGGTCGAGGTTGCGGACTAGAGAAATTCTAACCTGTACAATCAATACATGTCAATCTTACTTATTCTCTTTCAAAGATAATTTCTTTCTCTAAAGATACTTACTTATATTCTTATAAGTATTATGTAAAGATATTTTGGTACCATTCTTCTCTATTAGTTCACTATAGAACTTGTCATAGGAGGCATTTCATTTATATTCACATGAGTTTGTTATATACTCAGATCCCACTGGATGCCTTTGGTGAGGGAAGTGGTGCAGGATAAAGCATCAATAACAGTATCCCAGTTGTTGTTAGTCGACCTGGCTGGTCTGGCGCAACAGTCGTACAGGGCTTCAGGGGCAGGGATCAAGGAGGCTGGTGAGTGGCATGGACATTTCTTTTTAAGTTGTGGTAGTTATGATAATGTATGATACCTAGAAGTAACACTGTAGTACATGTAGTCTTAAGCTGTCTCCACAGATAAGGTAAGAGGTTGACTGCCACATTCTTGTCTTTGTTCACTCACTGTCTGTCATCCTCTTCATCTCTTCTCCTTTATTGACTCATTTCAGGCACATTTATCATCTTTGTTTCCTTTTATTGTATTACATACACACACACACACACACATGCACTTGCCTGCATACGCTTTGCTACACACACACACACACACACACACACACATATATATATATTTCTTTGTTCTCAACCTACCCAATGCAGTATGGTTTGGTAAATAAGATGAATCAAATTATTATTATTTTTTATCCTCTTCGCCGCTGATCGTCTCGTTAGCCGCTTGGGCGTCGGTCACGCGTCTCTGATTACTTTTCCTTTTCATTTCTTCTTCACAAAGATCATTTCGCTAGCCGCCGGGCGATCGGTCATGCACTGTTGGCAAATACTGGGCATGCACCTGAATATACCTGAACCGCTCAGTGTTGGTCAAGTCTTCTCTTGAAAGAGCTCACACTCTGTGCCGTCACAACACTCTCTGGTAGATTGTTCCAAGTTTACAACCCTCACTCCAGAAAAAGTTTGCCCTCACAGTTTTCTGGACTTGAGCTGTGACCCCTTGTGGGCGATCCGCCAGCTCAAGTCAGGACACTCCAGCTAGTAGTGCCCCTGAGATGCTTATACACCTCAACTAGGTCCCTCCTTGCCCGTCTGTAGTATAAGCTAGGCAAGTTCAGGCACTCCAATCTCTCAGGGTAGCTGAGGTGCAGTGCAGGTACCAGTCTGGTGGCCCTCCTTTGAACATTTTCAACCAACTGACAGTCCCTAGCATATCTCGGGGACCAGGCGAGGTGACAGTACTCAGTGGCGTTTCTAGCCTTTGGAAGAGTGGGGCCACTTTGGGGCCAAGGTAAATGTTGGGGGTGGGCAAAACCAAACCTGTGTACAACTTGCAAGATGCAGTTTTGGCATTATTACACCAATTTGATCAACAAATGTGAAGTGAGCGTCTCTCATGCCTCCAGCCTAAAATAATCAGCATATGGCGGCATAATGGCATCGCTCTTAGTCCACTAATCATGATTCATTGGAGTATTGACGAACATATCTCTAAAACTGTATTATTGCTCACATAGTCACATAAAGAGCAGGTGTACCACATAACAAACATTGAAAAATATAGCAGTGTCTTTACAATGTGTGTACATACATCAGCTAAAATGAATGATCTCACACTTCACATAATGGAATTATGGAGACAACGTTTACATTTTCAGACATGGTAGCGGCATGCAACTGTTAGTATTATACCCAATGGCAAATGGCAATGGTGCGGTTCAGTTCACACGTTACTGTGATGGTAGCAGTATACTTTACCTTATACTGTACAGCTCAGCTCTACAGCCACTTGAACTGAATGATTGAGATTGACTGATTGTAATATTACTCCTATAGTTAAAAATTACTCACATGTTCTCTCTAAACATATCCTTAGCAAATAGAAAACCCACAGTGACACTGTGGCAGACAATATTTTCTTCTGGGTAGTTTTAGCAACAAATTCAACAATTACTGTCAGTCTGTCACCCTCCTCAGTGGAAATACAGGTGGTATTGTTCATCACCGTGATGTGATCCCACCTGCATATCTGCCTCCCAATTCCCTCTGGGCCTCCTCCTCTCACCCCTCTCAGTGATCTCCACCTCCTCACCCATGCCTGCATCTGGCATGCTGCACGCCCATTGCCTGAGTCACTTGACTCACTTCCTGGTTTGGGAATGTTTTGGAATTACAATTTTGAGAATAAAAGTGGGGGCCAGCCCAAAATCTTGGGGCCATGGCCCCCCCTAAGATCACCCCTGACAGTACTCATGGGGAAGCACTTCACTCATGAGGATAGTTCTGAGGACGGACCGTCTGAATCTGAACGACCTTCTTATAAGACCCAATAATTTTATTTGCCTGGTACAGTGGTCCTCGGTTAGCAGGCACAATCCGTTCAGCAGGTTGCTCATTAACCGAAAAATCTCAATCAAAACCATTGTTTCAATGGGTTTTGGGTAATTGTCCAGCTCACCGAAAATTGCCTAAATTCAACAAAAAGGTAGAAAGTTCACTTACTTTGAGGTATGTAGAAGGCTTGTGGATGATGATGATGATGAATTTGAAGGAGGTGGAGGAGGAGAAGGAGAAGAGAAGGAGGAGGTGGAGGAGAAGCTTTTTACTGCTCTGGAAGGTGAGTCACCTTCCAAGAAAATGTCAGGAACCCCTGACTGGGACAGATTCTCCCACCATGAACATCATCTCTCCTTCTTGAAGCACATTGAGGGCTAGCATCATCCTCTCTCTCTTCAAGTGGAAGGCAGAGGATAGCATCTTTGTTCTCTACCTTTTACTGAAGAAAGTGTCAATTGGCTCAGGGCAATTCTCCTCCTCACCATTAACTTATGTTTAAAAGAAGGTATTCATTGAGTCTCAACATGACACAAAGTTAGTTCAGTTTTTTTCCACTTCTGTGCTGAAGCCAGTCGAACTTCCCAGTAGTAAATCACTTCTTTCAACTCTTTAGTTGACATATGGTCATCACTTTCAATTTCTTCTCCTCACTACTGTCAGCCTTACCTGCAATATCTCATCCAGTTGCTTCAAGTCATCAGGAGAAGTTCTGGCGAGACATCACAAGCTCTTCCATGATCCTCTCTCCTCCACTTCAAGGCCCAATGACTGACCAATGGACACAATCTCTGTCCAACTCTGTTTCTTCCTCAAATCCTCAAAATCATGGATTACTGATGGCCATGTGCTTTCCCATGAAGAATTGAGGGATCTAGTGGATACTTTTTGCCATGATGACACAATCAATTTAACAGCCTCCAGGATGTTGAATTGTATCTTCCAAACTGTCTTAGTGTTAGTTCAGGATCACTGGAAGCTGCCTGATGACACCTCCCAAACATTTTCTTCATATACAATTCCTTGGAAGTTGCTGATCACATTCTGGTCCATTGGCTGTATGATTGATGTAGTGTTTGGTAAAAACAACACTTTCACAAAGTCAAAATTGATACTCCAAATTTCTATAAGTTCAGGGTCATGACCAGGAGCATTATCCATGAGAAGAGCCCTTTAAGGGAGTTTATTATGGTTAGGCAGCTCTGGACAGAAGGGCAAAACACATCAACAGCCCATTCATTAAAGAGCTGTCTTGTCAAATTCCATGCCTTACGGTTGACTTCCAATAAACTCCAAGCTTTAGTTCTTACCACTTTCTGCTGCTTGAACTCTGGGGTTTTCAGTGGTGGACAAGCATAGGCTTCAGTAGGAAATCCTGAAGGATTGCACCAAGCAATAGAGTGAGACGGCTCCTTTTCTGCGAGTTTATGCCCAGTAAAGAGGCTTCATCTCTGGTGATGAATGTTCTGGGCATCTTTTTCCAGTAGAACAGCCCAGTTTCGTCCACATTGAAAACTTGCTGTGGAAGACAATTTTCTTCTTCCATCAGTTCTTTGAATTCAACTAAAAACTTTTGCTGCCCTTCCTTATCAGCACTAAAGCAGCTTCACCGCTTCCAACAACACTGAAAATGTCACTTCTTTTTCTTAAATTTTCAAACCAGCCTTTGCTGGTCTTAAAATCTTCTGAATTCTGTGCCTGAAGAACCAGGTTGATCTGTCTCAAATGTTCAGAATCTCCCTGGCCTCTTTCACAAATGAATTCAGAAACTGAATCACCTTTCATATGTTTTCCCTAATCCAGATGAGAAGTAACCTCTCAGTTTCTGCAATTAGGGATCTCCTTTTAAATACTGTGGTAGATTTGTCTCACTTTCACTTTTAAATTTGTCTTCTGTGTGAAGTATTGTCGACACAGCGATGTCGACATGCCATATTCCCTCTGCATAGCCGCATTTGTTCTAATGCCTTGTTCAGTGTATTTTTATAATTTCGCTTGGTTTGGATTGGAAATTGCTTTTCTTGGATCTCTTAGGTCTCTATGCTGATCTTAAACAATGTCAACATCGCGATCTTTTAGTTATAAACTGTTGTAAATAAATATTTTCTTTAAATAACACTGTACTGGGCGCTTATATATTTTCAATATGTAAAATATATTTCCAAAATGACTATCAATTTGCTTTTAAAACACAGAAAAAAAACGGGGTTAGGCTGAAGAGGAGTCTCATGAAGATGTTACCTCCAGTGAAAACAACAGAGAGAGGACTAAGGCTTGTTTGCTGTGTTAAGAGGCTGGATGGCGCAACATAAAACTAGTCACTTTATTTTCAATTATGTTCAATAATTGTTAAAATGACTAAAAATGTAATATTAAACTTTAAAAATTATTGAATAGTATAAACTTGATATTTACTAAAACAGGTGAATTTAAGCCCCAGAACCGATTACTGTATTGGCGATCACATTAAAGCTGGTTAACGCTATGCAAGCTTTCTAAAAACTTGTTGAGGTCGGCTCAGAAGAAATTGCTAATCGAGGGAATGCTCATAACCGGGTTAAGAATCTTATGGGAGGTAACTCAAGTTAACCAAATCTCGTTAACCGAGGCGCTGCTAACCGAGGAGCTGTACTGTATTACAGGAATATTAATAAGATACAAAACATTTAAGGAAAAATTATTGGTGTAGAGCTCTTTTGGGGATGAGATTTCCAGGTAATGAGATAATTCTCTCAAAACATGAAAATCCCACATCCAGAAATTTTTCTGGATGTAGGAAAAGTTTCTCTAAATTTTCCAGAAATTCTGCTTTATTTCATCCTCGGAATTTGCTGCCAGACCGGAAAAATAAGCCACT